CCGCGGAGCCGCGCTACCGCAGGCGGGCCGGGGTTCACCTGTGTATCCCACACCTGCGCCGCTCCCCGGGACGTGCTGTCCCCACCCTTGTCACCCCTTGCTCCGCCGCGCGTGAGTCCCCAGCCCCTCCCCATCCCTCTGGCCGCCGGCCTCCATCCGCGGGCCTCCATGTTGGACTCCGTGCCCGGCTGCGCTTGGTGGCTTCGCCAGGTTCTCCTTTCCGGCTCAGGGACCTCAGCCGATCCTGAGAAAGCGGAAGCCACGCCTGGCTTCTTGCAAACGTTGTGCTCAGGGATGGGCCTCTGAGAGCGGTCTGGCAGCCCATCTGGCAGTCGGAACCTTGCCTCAGAGGTGTCAAACAAGCAGATCGGGTTTGGGGTGGCTGGTACTCTGAATGTGGATCTCAGAATCCCCCTTTTCCCAAGAATAATACTACTTCCTGTTCCTGATTCTTGGGGAGATGAATGAAACCACAAGGCTGGCTACCCTCTTCCCTCTACCTCCCCATGGCGCCCCCGCGAGGCTCTCAGGAGTTATGTCTCCTTATGAGGTTGATGGGGTTTTTACTCTCCTGAAATCCTGGGTCTGAAGTCTCTGGTGGCGCTGGACAGCCACACAGAGTCGGCTCTTTGTCGTCCAAGCGCTGGTAGCTATGTATGGTAATTCTCTTGTCGCTGTCCCATCTGCTTAGTTTTCACTGATTGGTTTTGAGCACTTCCAGTTCTAAGAAGGCTGAGTATGATGGACAAAGACGGCCAGCTTTGGGGAGCAGGGCACTAGGTGTGGCTGTGCTGCTGGAATTGGTCTCCTCCATTCCTCAAGTGCCGCTGCTTTCCCTGGCACCTAGCACAACAAGGTGGCTTTCATACCCTATGCTGCTGGTACACTGAAGAAGTCTCAGCCTTTCCTTCTCTTCCCTTCAGCCCTAGCCTTTTGGGGAAGAGCTGCCTGGGGCCAAGTTGATGTGGGCACCCTGTGTGGCTTGCAGGCAGTTTTGCAGGGAGTCAGGCAGCGTGTCCTCGGTTTGGAAAGCATCTCTTCTAATTAGGGAAGACTGCCAGCAGTTCAGATGGCCCTCTTCAGGCCGCCCTTGGGCTTCCTCCCAGAGCTGCCTGCCACAGCCCAGGTCTGAAGCTTAGCCGCCCCATCTCCTCTCTGCCCTTCTGGAAGGCGCCGAGGCCTACTCCTCACCCAGTCAGGGCCCCCCATCTCAGCATCCTCCTCACCCACCCGCAGGCTCAGATAGCACTAGGGGTCGTACTACTCAGCAACGTGAATCCCTGGCCTCTGCTCTTATGGTCTACAGGTACCGTGTGGCAGGTCTCCACTCACGAACTGAAAAACTATCTAAACCAGGTCACTCCCCTGCTTGTAACTCTGCACTGGCTTCCAGCTGCACGTCAGATAAAGCCCAGACGCCTTGCCCAGTTGGGCTGGGGGCCCTGACCTCCATGCCTGCTTTTTGCCACACAGGCCACAGTAGCTTGCCAGCACTGCCGCCTCCTTTCTCTGCCTCAGGTTGCAGTGCGGCTCCTCCCCAGAGCCGCTGCCCTTGCTGTTCCCTCTGCCCTGAGCACCCTCCACCTCGTCCCAGGGCTCCCCAAACCTCCGTTCTGATGCTGCCTTCTTGGAGGAGCGTTCCTCGGTTCCTTGCTCCATGTTACACTTTTTCGTACCCATGCCAGATACTCTCATTGGTCGCCTTTCTCCCCCAACCAGAAGGGCGAGGTGGGTGGGCCCTGTCTCTGTCCTTGGTGCAGGCCTGTCATGTGTAGTAGGTGCTCAGGTGACGATGGACTGCGGGGCAGGAGACGTGGGAAATGACACACTAGACCAGGTTTTCCCTTTGACTTGCTGTCCAGTGGATCAGCGCCCCACCCGGTAGTCAGCCAGAACTGCTGGGAAGCCACCTCTTCCAGAAGGTTCTGGATGTTCACCACCTCCCAAGTCTTCCTTTTCCCTGTTTCTCTGAGTGTTCCTCTCTGTTTCCTCCTCCCATCGTCTCTCTCCTCCTGGGGAGCATGATTCTTTCCTGGCAGCCTGCCCCCCATCAACCAAGTCCCCTGGGCCCGGGTCGGATTTCTCTTCCCACTTTCTCAACCATGGGCAGCTCTGCCCAGCAGCTTTAACAGAGCGTTGCCCTCAGCAGGCCGGGGCTGCAAAGACCTTCGCATAGCTGTGTCCGCCTTGGATGACACGAACCATAGTCCTAAGCACCTCTGGGCACAAGTTTTTGATCTTGAATCGTACAGAGAAAGGTGTGGCCCATGGTCACCTATGGAGAGTTAAGGCTCGGCTAGATGTAGCGCCTGCCCCACTGACAAGCTTGTCCTGGGAGGTGCTGCACACTCGTCATGGCTCCTGTGGCTTCTGACGCTGCGCAAGGCTCCAGTTTGTGGGCGAGTCCCAGCCAGGAGGCCAACCTGCAGCTGGCAGACCTGCCCAGGCCATCGGCATCCTCCCCAGTGCCACATGTGCCTTCTTCCTGCTCCCTGGGGTGTTCTGGGTCATGTAGCGCCTGCCCCACTGACAAGCTTGTCCTGGGAGCTCCTGCACACTCGTCATGGCTCCTGTGGCTTCTGATGCTGCGCAAGGCTCCAGTTTGTGGGCGAGTCCCAGCCCAGGAGGCCAACCTGCAGCTGGCAGACCTGCCCAGGCCATCGGCATCCTCCCCAGTGCCACATGTGCCTTCTTCCTGCTCCCTGGGGTGTTCTGGGTCAGGGATGTGTGAGTATGTGTCTTTTCACACTCACGTACCTGCTATGCAGGTGGGCATTTTACACACAAATGTGGGAAAGGTTGCCATCAAACTTTACGGTTTGGTTTCCCTCAAGTGGATGAAGGCTCCCTGCCTTCTCAGGTTTGTCTCTCATGCGCCCCCGTGGTCAGGCCAGCGGCACCCCAGCTTTGGAGCTGAGAAGGCCGCAGCTTTGGGAGGCCCAGCGGCCTACTGACATCTGGCCTGGCGGGTCACAGTGGGCCTCATGTGGACGCAGTGTCCCTGCCGTGCTGGGTGCCGGGCTGGAGGCAGACAGCGCCTGCCGCAGGCTCCAGAGCCGCCGTGTTCCGTTTCAGGGCTCTCTTTACCTACGAAGGCAACAGCAATGACATCCGTGTGGCCGGCACTGGCGGTGAGTATGGGATCGGCCAGGCTCTCGGAGGGAGGTGAGGGACGTGAAAGGGAAGAGGTTGTGACTGTTAGTGCGGCCATCACAGTAGGAGGAAGGCGACTTGGGGTGCACAGGTGTCCCCTGCATGTGGTGCAACTGCAGTGACACTTACCCGGCTCCGGAGGGGCCCGCCACTTTAGCGTTGATGTTGGGGAGTTCTCTGGCCCCGATTGGGGTGTGGACCAGACTCAGGGGCTCCACCGAGCAGTGAGGACCCCAGCACTGATGGCCCTTTCTGGGTCTCAGATGTTTCCTAGTGAAAGTGAGTCGCTGGCCTTCCTGGCTTGGGTGCATGGCAGCGCTGCCCTCGGTGTGGTGGCGAGGCAGCCTGCCCCCAGCTCAAGCAGCTCACGCAGCACCGCAGCCCGCCTTCCCTCTGCCCTCCTAGTGGGCAGGCCCCCTACTGAGAGGTCGCACGGAAGAGTGCTGCCGGAGGATGGGCAGCAAGAGGTCTCTGCAGGAACAGTGGGCCGAGACGACAGGGTACGGATGCCCCGTCTCCTCCCTGTGCTCCAGGCCTGCTCGCCTTGTCCCACGAGTGGCTGTGGTAACTGGTAGCGAGCCTGTCCTCGCGAGCACCTTCTCCGATGGTCCCCTTTCTAGGACTGCCCTGAGGTGGTCTCACATACACTGTGCTGCCCTAGGAGGCACAATTGCAGAGTTCAGCAGCTGTGTTCCTCCTCACAGTCCAGAAGGTTTGGAGGGCTGATGGGAACCACAAACTCTGGTACATGCTGGCCCCGCAGCCTCAGTGTCAGGAGGGTGTGGCTTAGCGGCCCTCCTGTGCCCCAGTGACTGTGAGTCAGTGAGCTGAGCCCTGCACGGCTGCAGGCTGTTGCCACTTGCTCAAGACCCTCTGGGTGGCCCGGAGTCTGAGCATACATCTGGGCCAGGGTGGGGTGACTTGCAGGTGGGTCCTGTTACTTCAGGGAGAATGGTGGGGTTCAGGCAGTGGCAAAATTATTGCAGAGACCTTGCTTTAGAAAGTTTGCTCCCTGGTTTGTGGCAGAAATGACATTTTTATTTTCTGGAATTGCCTGTGGGTTTGTAAAAGTGGTTTAAACTAGTGTGGGCAGGGATTGCCGGAGGTGCTCGTCCTAAGTGCGGACCCTGCGGCCCACCCAGCTCGCCCACAAACCCCATAGGGCCAGGGCCAGCACCTCATTCCGATGCAGGTGGCGCCAAGAACCCTGGTTTAGAGGCAGCTTGGGCTTCCTTTCCTGGGGGACTGGGTGCCGGGGTGGGTGGGGGTGCCTGGGCCACCGCTGACTCTCCTGTGACTGCTGCAGAGGGGGGCCTGGAGGAGATGGTGGAGGAGCTCAACAGCGGGAAGGTGATGTACGCTTTCTGCAGGGTGAAGGACCCCAACTCTGGCCTGCCCAAGTTTGTCCTCATCAACTGGGTACGTAGGGCTGAGGGCTCTGAGTCTTGTGTAGATGTGAGCAGGAAGCTGCCTTTTCCGCTTCCCTCTGCCTCGCGGTTGGAGCGGAGGAGGACCTGACCCAGGACAGCTCTGGCTGGTGGGTGAATGGCCGGATTCCATCACTGCAGCCCACGAATACCTGGGGCCCTGCTAGGGCGGAATATACCCTCCCCACTTGGAATTACTCCTGCAAAATGAAATAAACACAGTCGCAGGACACTCTTGTTCCTGTCCCCTTCAGGGTGGTCATCCCGAAAGAGCAGAGGGCATGGAGGGGGTTGGGGAGGCTCAAGTGCAAGGCGGGGCCTGGGTGGGGATGAGGGGATTCTGAGCCCAGCCTGCAGAAGTTGCCCAAGGACCCTCCCTGTCTTCTGTGGTGGCCGTTGTCCCTCCCTGGGACATGAAGCCACTGGTGGGAGCGCAACAGCTTTGGGGAACTGGCGGGTCATGCCCAGTGTTGTATTGCAGACGGGCGAGGGCGTGAATGACGTGCGGAAGGGAGCGTGTGCCAGCCACGTCAGCACCATGGCCGGCTTCCTGAAGGTGAGGGCTGCTGCCCCCAGGGCCTCACGGGTCTCGCCACTTACTGTGAGTGAGTGGCACTGAGCTGGAGTGCCCCACAGCTCGGCCCAGGCTCGGTCTGGACACCAAGGGGGTGGCTAGAGCCACCGCCAGCTGGCCTCAGCGAGGAGGACCGTGTTGCAGCTGGCCTGGCTTCCACCCCTAGTACGATACTGTGAACCTCGGCAGTGCCATGAGGGTTCGGAGCTGGGGAGGGCTGCTCAGCGCCGCGCACACGCTCTCCCCCAGTGCAGGGCTTTCCAGGCCGTCTGCACGCCAGCCTCACTCTCTTGTTCCTGAAAGGAACCTGGTTTCCTTTCAGAAGTGTTTGTTCGCTCATCAGCTGACTATGCACTTCCTTGGTTACTGGCAAGGAGGTTCTGGGGCTCCGAATTCCAGTTCTGCCAACACTTCTTCAGGAGCTAAAAGATAGGGTCCCAGGCTTATTGGGTGTTTAGTGACAGTGGGTGGGATCATGGCCTGACTTCTCAGGAAGAGATCAGCGGCTCACTAAAAAACGTGCTTGTGGCCAGGTGCCCTTCATGGTTACTTTTCACTGATTACAAAGAAGAAACCCTCTAATGCTTGAGGTGTCAGTCAAACTGCAGAACCACAGAACATGCCACGGGCCACCAGGGCCGCACACGAGCTGGGACAAGGCCAAAGGTTAGCCTCGGTTCTGCTGAGCCCAAGGCCAGTGCCGCAGCGCCTGTTGTCAGTGCAGTCGCATCCCCTTTGCTAAGTGCTGCTCCCGCTACAGGGGGCCCACGTCACCATCAACGCAAGGGCTGAGGAGGACGTGGAGCCCGAGTGCATCATGCAGAAGGTGGCCAGGGCCTCTGGCGCCAACTATACCTTCCACAGGGAGAGCGGCCGCTTCCAGGACACAGGCCCCCAGGCCCCAGTGGTGAGTCGTTCCCTGGCCTAAGCAGAGGGGTGAGGATTGCGTTCCCACTGTCCAGCCTGCCTGGGCCTGCCCTCAGCACCTTAGCCCTTGTGGGGCTGGGCTCCTGCCTGCCTGGCGTCAAGTCCCTGAGCCAGATGGGGGTGCAGATGGCGACCCACGTCTGATGGGGCAGGAGCTTCCCCCGGGGAGGCCGGCACTCATCAGCATGAGTCGCAGCGCGGGCCCTGCTGCTGATGTGACGGGCCTTCCTGGAGCCCCTGGTGCTGGCTGGGTGGGGCCAGAGATCTCTGCACCAGCGGTTAAGTCTCCCCCGAGGCCACGGCACCAGCACGTCCTGTGTGGCCCTGGATGATGTCTACTGTAGAGGACCTTCAGGTGGCAGACCGGGCAGGCCCCTTCACGTCGTGGGTAGATAGCTACGGCCTATGGCTCTGGTGCTGGGTGGGGTCTGAGTCCCCTGACACATAGTAGGGGTCCCTGGAGACTCGGTGGGCATGTGGTGGGCAGCTGCTTGAGGCTGGTGGGCCAGCCACCTAGGAGTGACCCCTGGCCAGAGGTCTGCCTCAGAACTGCCCAGCCTACGTGCCTGCCCTGGCTCCCACTACCAGGGCCTTATTCAACCAGAGACCCCCCCCAGGGCTGTCTGGCTTGAGCTTCCCCGCTCAGCGGTTTCCAGGGCTTTTCAGGGTCACCTCTGCCGGGTGCCACCCTCATAGTTCTCACCTGTGCTGTACGCTCTTGCCGATGGCCTCGCTGTGGACCCTCTGTCCCCACAGGGCTCTGTGTACCAGAAGACCAATGCGGTGTCTGAGATCAAGAGGGTCGGCAAAGACAGCTTCTGGGCCAAAGCGGAGGTGAGCGTTGCTGGGGAAGCGGGGACGACAGCTGGTGGCCAGGGCGCCATCGTCATCGCGGGTGCCAGGCAGCGTCCCTCACAATGAGCCCCTAGAGCAGGTGTTCCTGTTAGCACCCAAGCACGGGGGGTCAGACTGCTTCAGGGGTCAGGGAGGGGTGCGACTGTCACTGTAGCCCCGTGTGGGCACCGGGGGGGCAGGGGCACGGCGGGCTGAGCACGCTCCCCACAGAAGGAGGAGGAGAACCGCAGGCTGGAGGAGAAGCGGCGGGCGGAGCAGGAGCGCCAGCGGCTGGAGGAGGAGCGCCGGGAGCGGGAGCTGCGCGAGGCTGCCCGCCGGGAGCAGCGCTACCAGGAGCAGAGCGCCGGCGGCGAGGCCAGCCTGCAGAGGTGAGCCCCAGAGGCGAGGGGGCGGCCGAGGGGACCCCGGGCCCTGGGTGCAGCTCTTCCTCCTCCCCTCTTGGCAGGAAGTGTGAGCAGCAGGACGTGGCTCTGAGGAACAGAGAGGAGCAGGTGAGACTGGGGGCTCCGACAGAGGCCAGTCACCGCCGTGCCACGTGGGCTCCTGGTGCACAGGCCGGGCCCAGCAGCTTGAGGGCTTGCCGTCAGGGTCCTGCAGCCGGCAGGGCACATCTGAGGTGGCCACAGCCATGTGAGCGGAGGGCGGAAGCCCCTGGCATGGACCTTGCTGTCCTGGAGGAGGCCTGTGAGCGGTGTTCGCTTCCTGGCTCCCCAGAGCCATGGGGCCGGGCAGGCTGATGGGCTTCTGGGATCGTGCTCATGGCTGGGCCCCCGTGCTCCCCCAGGAGCCCGTCTGCCAGCAGTCAGCACACCCAAGGGAGGTTTTCAGGCAGAAGGAGAGAGCCACGTCCACCACACTCGTCTCCAGCTGCCAGCCAGGTGAGACTTTCCTCTGCCTTGCTGTGAACCATAAGGCGGGGCAGGTCCCCAAGGAAGCGACAAGTGTGGCAGAAGGTGACAGGGCTGAGTGAGCAATGAGAGTCTCTGCCCATGAAGGCAACTTCTGGGAGGGGACCCAGGGACCCAAGTGTCCCTTTCCTAGCCAGGTCAAGGCCTGCAGAGGTCTGCTGGGAAAGGAGGGGGCTGCATGTGGCTCCAGAGTGAAGACCTGCCAGCCCTGGCCCCATAAACCCCTGCTACAGCTCACCCATTGGGCTGTCACTTGGCTCCCAGGGACCTGCATCAGTCACTTCTCTGGCCCCCAAAGGACACAGGACCAGTCCTACAGGCCAGCTTTCTGACATTGCATGTGTCCCCCGGGGGGCTGCTTAGAGCATCCTAGTGTGTGTGTGACATGCACAGACGAGGTAGTGTTTTTGCAGCTGTCGTGTCCACATTCACTTCCTGTGTGACAGCCATGACCTTAGGACAGGCCCACCGTCTGGGCAGTGCAGGGCACAAAAAAGGAAGGGCTGCTTGCTCTCTCCTGCTGCATGACATCGTGTTTACCGTCATCCTGCAGGCAAACTGAAGAGCCCCTTCCTGCAGAAGCAGCTCACCCAGCCTGAGCTCCCCCTCGGCGGAGAACTGCACGCCACCTCAAGGCCCCGGGCAGGCAAGGCTCTGGCCGCCCGCGGGGGCTGGGGGCAGCCAGGGGTGTCCTCTCTCCGGCCCAGAGTCAGTGAGCTGCATCCTCCCCGCAGGTCTCCATGAGCAGTCAGCAGCCAGCGCCCCAACCTGTCCAGCACAAGCTGGAGAGGAGGCTGTGTATGAGGAGCCCCCAGTGCAGGACGCCCTCTATGAGGAGCCCCCTATGGTGAGTGTGCTGCAGCGGAGCAGGGCTGTGAGGGCCACATCCCTGACGCCTTCCTCCGTGGCTCGCTGCGTGTGGGTTGTCTTGTTTAGAGTTGGTGCCACCTATGGGACCACCCCTCCCCCAGCCTGGCATGAGCCCTGGCCGTGGGCAGGCCAAGGTCAGCGAGACCACAGCCTTCTTTCCCATCTGTGGGCAGGTGCAGCCGCAGGACGCTGGCGCTGAGCATGTGGATAGCTACCCGGAGCTGAGTGGGAAGGGGCTGTGTGCCCGGGCGCTGTACGACTACCAGGCAGGTAACGTGCCACTGCCATCACCCCAGGCCACAGGGCCCCCAGGGCCCCCAGGGTTGTTGGCAAAGAAGATGGAGTGAGGGGACAGTGGGTGGACGCCCCGTACAGCCCTTCCTTTGTGCTTCGGGCAGCTGCTTGCCAACATAGTGTAAGAGCCTGAGGTGTGGCCAAAGAGGTGACATTGGGTGGCGGCCTTGGGAGCAGGCTGACACGTGGAAGTGCCGTCTCCAGCCTTTTGCTGCAGCGGCGGGCCCAGAGCCTGACTCAGGAAGGCGTGTCCCGGGAGATGGCCACTGAAGCAGCCTGGGGACTCCGAGCCCCCAGTGCAGCCTCTGGGCTCGTCCCTTGCAGCTGACGAGACCGAGATCTCCTTTGACCCCGAGAACCTCATCACGGGCATCGAGGTGATTGACGAGGGCTGGTGGCGTGGCTACGGGCCGGACGGCCGCTTCGGCATGTTCCCTGCCAACTACGTGGAGCTGATGCAGTGAGGGCCCCGCGCTGCTGGCGGAGGCTCAGGGCCACCCTTCCCTCCCCCCACACGTGTCTTGCTGGAAGTGGGGTGAGAGTTGCACACAGCGCTCTTCCAGGAGTGGGACCCCGGGGAGAACAGGCCCTTGGGCTCCCTCTGGCTCAAGTAGCTTGGCCTCTATCACCCCAAATGCAGCAATAACCCAGTGATTCCTACACATGCTTCCGGCAGCCTCCCAGGCCTCCAGTCAGTACAGCTCTTGACCCCAATAAAGGACATTGAGTCAGGCCTCACCCATGCCAGCCCCTGGGGATGTCTGAGCAGTGGCATCTGGTGGCATGCATTTGCCTTCTTCCTTTCCTCTGGGCCCTAAGGGGTGGGGGGCGACAGCTGCCAGTGACCCTGGGGACTCAACAGCTTATGACCAGAGTGGTTCATGGCACCTGGCAGCAGTAGCTGGTCTTTCTGGATCCTGCTGTGCGCTCCATTTCTCTGTCCCTCTGCCTGGGCTGTGGGCAGAGGGGACAGACAGCCAAGCCCTCATCTGAGTGTGTGAAGGAAGATGTGGAAACATCGGTAGACACATCGGTCCTGCACAGCTTCCACCTGCCCTCTGGTCCTGCTGTGCGCCTCCAGGGTGGCTATACCTGTGGTCTTCCCATGTCTGCCAGCCCACCCGTCTTCTCTTAAGAACTGCCCCCAAGGGTCCCCAGGTCCCAGCCCCTGACTGCCCCGTGTGGAACAAGCCCCCCCCTGCTGTCCGGCGCGTGTGTGCGTGTTCACCCTGTGCACAGCTGGCCACAGCCACCTGGGAGAAGCATAAACACTAGGGCGTGAGTGCAGCCAGCCCGCGTGTCAGTTCTGGGGGTGTGGGGGATGGCGAGGGCCCCCATTCCCTCCATGCTGGCCAGTGTGAGCGTGTCCGTGGAGGCACCTGACACCAGTGAATGTTAGGGAAACCACACTTCCTTGTGAGCCCTGGGAGTTGCTAGGCAGAAGCTGCCTGGGGTGAAGGCCACACTGAGGAGACCCCAGGTGGTGACCAAGCCCAGTACCCACTTTCAGTGTGGTGGCAGTAGCCTGTCCTGTGTTTCTTGTGGATAGGCCATGCTCAAGCAAGCCTCACATCCTGATTTTTCTCCCACAAAAATGACAGCACCTGCCCCCTAGGTCTGGAGGCCCCATGAGTCATATATTCCCAGGTTTGAGGCCCACTGTGGGCTTGTCTGTCTCCAAACTAGGGGATACCCAGGAGGCCACCTCACCCTGCCTGCCCTGGGGATGCAAGGACAGCACAGGACAACCCACCTAAAGGAAACTGACCATGAAGTGGTGTCCTGCCTGGCGTTCTCGCTCACCGTGGGCAGGGCTGGGCCACTTGGATTCTTAAAGTGACCCCAGGCATTTCTAGATTCCAGAGCAAGGTTACAAAATGGCTCTTCAGCTTCGGGGTATACAACAAGGGCTAGTTAGGGGCCACCTGATAACCAGAGATGGGGGCTAGGTTCATGCTCCTGGTCCTCAGGGTTCCCATATGTAATAGCCAGACCCCCCAGGATAGTGTTTGCAGAACCTCCAGCTCTGGGCCTGTGGACCCAGCTGAGGGTACTATGGGTTGAACATGTGCCACCCCACATGCCTGACGCATAGGGCCATGCTGGACTGCAGGCAGCTTTATTGCCAGAGCCCACCCTTCACTTGGCCTTGCCCTGGGCAGCCACAGCCTCCATGGCCTTCCGGACAGTCTCCTCATCACCCAGGAACCGCATGGGCTTGATGGGCTTCAGTCCCTTGTCCAGCTCGTACACGATGGGGATCCCCGTGGGCAGGTTCAGCTCCATGATGGCCTGGTCTGACATCCCTGGGCGGGAACCAAAGGTCCTCAGCCCTCCCGGCCTGTTCACCAGGCGGCCACCTGCTTTTGCGCTCAGCAGGCTCCGTGACTGACGAGCCACAGAGCTGGTCGGCCAGGCAGCATGGCCATGGGAACGTGCTGGAGATCGGGACAGCCGAGGGAAGGCGGCCTACAGAAAGCTGCGCTAAACCAAGGACCTTTTCCCCTGCCCCAGCTCCTGTGACCTGGGGTGGCGCCATGGGGCTCAGCCCAGTGTGACCTCTGCCCCAACCCATGGTTGTTTGGGTTCAGTCAGGCCATTAGCTGCACATTTTTAGAGAGTTCTAAACTGGGCATCCTAAACAGTGGAGCAGGGGGTTCTCTCAAGATGAGGGGCAGCAGGATGGGCCTCCCATGGCCAAGGTGGACACAGACTCCATCCGGTGAAAGGGTAGCATTTTCTGCAGAAACCTGACGCTGCTGGCCGCTGTCAGTCCTGGCCTGGAATAGCTCACCCTTTGGCATTTGTGCCACCTTGCAGTGCAAGGAGGCCAGTTCTCTGGGGAACGGAGGGCCCAGCCATGTCCCCTCAGTGTGCCCTTTGCTCCCAGCTAGCGTAGAGGCACGTGGGCGTGTGAAGCCCCAGGGAGGGTGGGAGGGGCAGAAGATGTCCTCTGTCTGCTGGACTCAGCGCCAGGTGTGGGACGTGTGCATGGACCTGGCGTCCTGGGGCCTGCTTGTCTGCTCTGGCCAGCTGCCTAGCAACCCCACCTGCCTCCTGTTTCCGTGACCCCAACAAGTCTGAAGCCATTCTGATGCTGACAGACTCGTCTATGTCTGCAAACCCTGAAGGCCTCTGTTGCTGCCTGAGCGGGCTTCAAAGGGGGCCACTGGAGTACCCCACCATGCTGTGCGGTTGCCCCAGCCCTCTGGTAGGAGCCCAGCTGCAAAACTGCCCCTTTTGACTGGTCATACTTCTGCATGGAGGGACAGGGCTCTGCCTCAGCCCCACATGCAGGAACCAGCAGTACCAAGAACTACCAGGTGAGTCCCAACATGATGTGACTAGACCAGGGACACAGCAAAGCAGGATTTGGAACTTGTCAGCTCTGCCTTTTCCTAGCTTAGTGTCATTGGCCAAAATGCCACCCTGAGCCCTCCCCACCTTAGCCCCTGTGCAGGGTGGGCCTGGGCACTGGGTCTGTGATGGCACGTGTTTTCACCTACCATTGTCAGGAGGAAGCTGCGGTGTCTGTTTTAAATAGTTTCTCCAACCCTTCCAGCTCAATTCAGTTTGAAAGCCCTACCCTGGGCACTGACGGCTGTAAAGCCGCCTGGGCCAGGCAGTGGGCATTGCTGAACTGGAAGCCAGACATGCAAGGGCCCATGTCCCCTCCACCTCTCCCCATGCAGCACGTGAGGGACGCCTCACCTTCCAGGTGCTTGACAATGCCCCGCAGGCTGTTCCCGTGGGCTGCAATCAGCACCCTCTTGCCAGCCTTTATCTGGGGGGCGATCTCCTCGTTCCAGAAGGGCAGGGCCCGGGCGATGGTGTCCTTGAGGCTCTCGCAAATAGGCAGTTCCCCGGGCTTCAGGCCTGCGTAGCGCCGCTCCTGGGGGCACCATGCTGCTGTGTACCCAGAGACAGCCACCCCACCCAGCTCTGTCCCCAGGCCCTGCCCCCGGCTTTCCTCCTGCCCGCCGCCCCCCCCAGCCACCTACCTTGCTGATGGAGCTGTAGTAGGGGTGCTTCTCGTCCATGGGGGGCGGCGGGATATCGAAGGAGCGCCTCCAGACCTTGACCTGCTCCTCCCCGTGCTTGGCGGCGGTCTCCGCCTTGTTGAGGCCCGTGAGGCCCCCATAGTGCCGCTCGTTCAGGCGCCAGGTACGTACCACAGGCAGCCACATCTGGTCTGTGCCGTCCAGGATGGTCCAGAGAGTGCGGATGGCCCGCTTCAGCACCGACGTGTAGCAGATGTCAAACTCCATCTTGGCGTCCTTGACGGCCTGGGCCCCCCTCTTGGCCTCCTCAGCCCCCTTCTCACTCAGCTCAGCGTCGAACCAGCCGCAGAAGCGGTTCTCCTGGTTCCAGGTGCTCTCGCCGTGCCGAACCATCACGAGGCAGTGGGTGGACATGGTGGTGGTGCTGGGGACCGTGGCAGGCTCCGGACTGGGACAGCTGCCTCCCACCGTGTCACCAGCTTTATAACAGTCCGTCCCCAGCCCCCATCCTGGCCAACTGCCAATCAGCATTCCAGGCCCGACAGGCAGCGGCAGGTGACCAGTAGCAAAGCTTTGGGGGAGGGCAGGCTGGAAGCTGGACTTAAAATAGTTCCAACAGCCACCAGTCCCCCACACGGAGCCCAGGCTGGGGAGGGCTGTCAGCCAGGAAGGGCAAGCCCAAGAGGTGGGTGCTAGGAGAAATGGGTACTGTCCAGAGAAAGGCTTGCCCTGACTTGCCTCCCCGCCCCCATCAAACCCTCCCTGCTCCCAGGGGTCCGGACCCATCAGGCAGAGGCATGAAAACCCCACCCACTTTCTCCTAGCCCCTCAGCACAGCTGGGGACCGGCCTGTGTTTCAGTGGAGAGAGGCTAGTCCCAAAAGGTTCCACTACATGACATCTTGGAGAAGGCAAAGCTATAGGGCCAGAGAGGAAGCAGACGAACAGGTTAGGGGGGTGGAGCTTGTGGCCACGGGGACAGCCTGTGGGTGTCTTGCTTTTGGTGGAGGCGAACAGGTCTACGTGTGTCAAAGCTCATAAAACTGGACTAAAAGAGTCCATTTTACTACATTTTAGTTTTAAAAATGTTTTTAATGGAGTGAGCGATCAGGGAATTCTTAATCTGACAGACTTTGAGTCAAGAGTGATTCCAGCTGGACAGCTAGGCGTGGGGGCGCCTGGGGATCTGAGGAACGGGACCCTGTCCCCTAGGAGAGGGTGTCTACGGGAGCAGGGGGGCCATGGGGTGGGGGTGGGGGCCATGGTGAGGACTTGGGACTTACTGGGAAACGTGGGGCACTGCTGGAGGGCTTTGAGCTAGGAGCGAAACCATGTGACCTGACTGTAAAAGGTGCTCTGAACAGACCTTAAAGGAGCATAGGTGGGGACAGGAAGTCTGGCTGGGGTGTGGGGTGACCCAGCAGGAGGCAGTGGGCACCATAAGCATTCAAAGTTCTCTTCCTGCCAACTCCCTGCCCTCGGGGCCTCGTCCCTCTCCAGGTGACCCCAGTGGCAGCACCCACGGTAGACCCAGTAGGCAGGGGCTCCAGCGCCACCTCCCGCTCGGAGGCCTGAGGCTGGGAGCACCCAGTTGAGCACTGACTACAGAGCGGTCACGTCTACAGGGTCTATAGCCCTGCGAATAAAGTCCCGTTTGGGTCCCATAGCACTGGGGGCAGCTTGAGGACTCTGGCCCAGGGTCAGAGCCATGGTGCCGCCAGTGGCTGAGGGGCAGGTGCCCAGGCAAGACTGACCTGCGGGAGGAACCGTCCCCATACTCGGGCCAACACACAGCAGCACTTCCAGAAAACAGAGCTTGGTTAGTCGGGTGATTTCATTTGGTTTCCTCTTGGATGGGTGTGCCCGGGGGAGTGGTGGTCACAGGGGTTCCACTCGGGAGGGGCGAGGGCTTGGGGCAGCAGGTGACTTCTGCCAGGAGATGTCCAGTGGCTCGGGGCGTGGTGGGTACTGGCTGGCCAGCTGGGTGGCATTTCTGCTGTGCAGAGGTGGGTGGGCAGGAAGGGTCAGGCATTCCTCAGCTGCGGCGGGAGGTATGTAAGGCCCAGGTGTCTGAAGATGTCTTCCTCTGCAGCCAGGTGCACAAATGTCTCCTGCAATGGAAATGGGACCTTGGTAGCTCTCCTGACAAAGGCGGGGGGGTGGGGGAAGACAAGAGGGGTCCCAGGACAGTGGGGTGGGCGGTGTCCCAGGGCCCTGCCCGTGGGCTTCAGGCCAGGAGCAGGCCGCGTACCCTACCCTTTCCCGCCCGCCAGTGCACCTGTTCCGGGTCGTACAGCCCTTCGCTGTTCAGCCACAGCCCCCTCTCCTTCCGGCTGAAGCGGCGAAGCTCCCGCTCAAAATGCTGGGGGGGCGGGGAAGCAACAGCGTTGGCAGGGCCCCGACCCCAGACCAGGCGGCCCCACAGCACAGGCCCTACCTTGGAGCCGGTCCAGCCAAGCAGGGCGAAGGGGAACTGGCTGATGGGGGCGACCACCAGGTCCACGCGCACCGCCTTCCAGGGGCGGCAGGGCCCCAGGGCGCCCCCGACAGCAACCCCCAGGGAACTTGGCAGGCGAAGAATGCAGAAGCACCTCTCCAAGGTGTCGGTGGTGCGGCTCCTCCGGGCTGGGCGGGCGGGCTCTTGGCCTTGCGGGAGCCAGTGCTGGTGGTACAGGACCAGGCCCTGCGGGGAGTTCCCTGTGACCGCTATGTGACCACACCAGGAACCACCAAGGCAGAGCCGACCCCGCCACTCTCACCTGCTCCTTGAGGCTGTGCATCACTCGGGACAGCAGCCCCACCTCCTGGCCCTCCTCGGGGTGCGTGATGAGGAAGTCCACGTCATGGCCCTGCAACTTCCCCCTGCGGGGCCCAGGCTGACTCTGCTGTCCAGGGCACGGCCTCCATGCGCTCCCAGACCTGCCCCCGCAGCCACTCTGTGCCTTTGCTGGGGAGGGCCCCTTACCTCCGGAAGCCGCCAGCCAGTGTGACTGTGGCCCCGGGAAGGGCCTGCTCCACGGCCGCCTCCACCACCTGCTGCAGGGCCTCCGCATCGGGCCGCTGGACCGGGGTGCTCAGGTCCGCATGGTGCCTGAGTCCTGCGGGCATAGCTCTGCTGACCTTCCCATCGCCCTCTCCACTCCCCTCCAGCCTTCATTCTGAGGTAACTGTAGATCTGCACAGAGGCCCCACGTGCCCTCCCCGCCCCGCCAGCACAGCGTCTCACAGAGCGTGTCTACGTCACGCGGGATGCGAACGCTGACACGACCAAGACACAGACTCTTTCTAGTGCCTTGGTTTCCCCCCTGTAAAATGGGACCCGCTAACTATGGAAGATGAACACGCAGTGTAAACATACATATGCCTTACTGTTAAAGTGTAAGCTGAAGCTTATTGGATTTTGTTAACCAATGTCACCATGAAAAAATTAATTAAAAAACTAAAAATAAAATGGGACCGGCAGTTGACAGACACATAGAAGACAGCTCTACCACTTCGGAGCCGTGCTCGTTAGCCCAAGTCCTTGTCCTCCCGTCAGAGGGATCTCTACCTTCCACATGTAGTTAGAGGTTTACGTGTGGCAGTGACAGCACCTGGCAGAGCACATTCTCAGAGCTGCTGTCACCCCTAGCCTTGCTGTGTCCTGGGCTGGGGGGCAATTGAGTGGAACTAGCAGTGTCACCACCTAACGCTCCAGCTTTGTGTCACTTCCTGCTAACCGACCAGGCAGGTCTCCTAAGACCCCCAGGGGCCCTTCCTGCAGCCCCTAGGAAGAGGTGGTGGGTGCTGGGCCATGGGGTGCCCCAGGCCATAAAGAATGGAGCATCTGCTCAGCACCTCCTACCTGCTGGCCTCAGTGGCTTCCCAGAGAACAGAGGCTCAGGGAGTCAGACTCAGGGCCACAACTACCTACATAGTAAGTGGCCCAGGTGGGTCTCAGACCCAGGCCTAAACGACTCAAGTTCCTGTTCGTCCCACTGCACAGTGCCAACTCCCACTAGCAGGCCCCTTGCTGAGCCTCTCCTACCGCCCGGGTCCCCTTGTCATTGGCCAGCAGGCCAGAGTGTCATGCCCCACCCTGGCAAGGTGTGCCCAGGCCCAGTTGTTCAGACCCAGTCCGAGCCATGTCTCAGCAGGAGGTCCCGAATGTCACATCAGCTACTGAGACCGCCATGGCTCCCTGAGAAGGGGCTGCAATGGGTCCTGGCCCCACTGGGTGGAGACCCTGGGAAGCCCACCACAGACAGCCGCCTTCCACTGGGACCCCCCACTGACCTTCCTGCCGTCCAGGCAGCGTTAGCTCTAAAGTCAAAGCCTTGGGGCACCTTGCTTTGAGGCAGCCCAGGAGTGGCCCTCTCTGGGGCTCACCTGCTTTCTGCTGCTGGGTCAGTCTCTGCACCTGCCCTCGGACATCGTCCAGTGTCCGCAGCCCCTCCCTGTACCACCGGTCAGCAGTCCTCACTCCGACCCCAAAGATCCCGGTGAAGAGCTGTTGGGAGGATGAGCGCGGCCAGATCAGAGTGAAGCTCTCACATCAGGGCGTGCAAAGCAGCGCCGATCTGCAAAAGGGTCGTCACTCGGTCGTCACGCGGCCCGGCCAGTGCTGCCCCTACTTGCATCTTTCCAGTTGAAGCAGCCTGTCCCAGGCCCCACGGAAGCATAGGCAGGATTCAACTCCGAGCCTGGCCTGTGCAGCCCACCCTCCAGGGGGCAGCATGGAAAGACCTCAGGGCCTTGGCCTCTTCCTCTAGGAAGTCTGTCCCCAGACCGTGTGCAGCTCCAGCCTGTGACTCTAACATCACCAGTCACCTAACAGTAGCTGACACGTCACTGCAGTTCCTAACACACAGTGAGCTTCACGGCCGCTCATAATAGAGGGTGCTTTCAGCAGGGTCTGGCAGGACATGAGCCCGGGGCTGGTGCCATTGTTCCAGCCTCAAACACAGCAGGCGTCACTGCCCAGCCATTGGCCAGCATAGCACCCAGGACACAGGAGATGACAGGGCTGGAACTGAGCTCTCATGGGGTGGCCGCCTCCCCGCACACGTCTCTCACACAGGGGGGCCCTGACCCCAGACCAAGAAAGTCACCTGTCTCTTACAGCCCCTTGGTCAGGAGTAGCCCCTGCCCCAGACCGGCTACTCAGAGCCCCTCCCCAGGGATTTTTGGAACCAAGCAGAAGGCAGGCCCGTGCAGCGGCGGGGGCTGTAACGTGTGGCAGGAGCGCCTTCTGAGGCCACGTGTGACTGGGGGAGGCAGCTGGAGTGCCAAGGAGAGAGAACAGCCCGGCAGCACTCGAGCCCCAAGCCCCACTTCCTGCAGACAAGCTGTACCCCTTTTTGAGCTATGTTTTGGTCATCCTTTCCTTGATCCCCCAAACCAAGAACAGGAGCTGAGTCACTGTCACCAAGGAACCCTGACAGAAAAAATGTTGAGAATAACCCAAGCATACTGTTCATAAAAGTAAACTAATTGTTAACATACTTCTCCGTTTTCTGGGACTTGGGCGCCCATGTGGAGACTGACGGCTCCACTCTCTCAGCCCTTCGCCCTCCCTGGCTCCTGGGTCACACCCACCCTGTCCTCTGCCTGCCTGAGCCCCTCTGTCCTCCAGGGATGCCCCCTCTCCCTCCTTGAACCCCCGCCGATCCTTGCAACGTTCTGGGCAATTCCGCACGGCCGCGACGGCCGGCCCTGCCAGGCGCCTCACCACCCTACAGGCCGCCAGTCTGACAATTGGCAGCCACAGGAGCAGCGCTGAGACGTCGGGTGGCTCCACATGTGATCGGAGCTGAGGAGCAGCAGAGAGATGGCGCTGTGGACACAGGCGGTGACACCAGATCAGGGCACGATGCCAGACACGCAGACCAGAGCCAGGCTCCGCGGCCCTGCTGGCTCCCTCAGCTCTGAGCAGACGCTGTTTAAAGTGCAGAGCATGTGACACACCTGAGCGCATCCGTTAACAGTCCAGTAAGGACAGTGCTGAGCAATCTAGAAAATTCCCTGTGCTCAAAACAAGTTTCTCTTTGCTGTTTTCCACCTATGCGTGTCAGGTGTCAGCTGCCACTTCCTCAGAGGCCCTCTGACTCCGACCGCTGCGTGACTGTGGAGTCATCGGGGAAGTGGGCTGTGCGCCCCTGCAGCCGCCCTGCCCTGCGCGCACCTTCATGCTCCGGTACCTGGCCGACAGCCGGACCCTCTCCACCTCCACACACTCGCCTCGGTCCAGCAGCTCCTGCGCAGAGACAAGGCCGTGAGCCCGCTGGCGGAGAGAGCTGGGCCAGGCCTGCAGACCTCATGTCGGCAGGGGCCCTGCGGTGTCAGCATGGGACAGAGGGACTGGAGACGCAGACTGCGTCCAGGGAGGCGACCACAAAGCCCCTCGGCCCCGGGACACAGGTGGTCCCTCGGATGAGTAACAAGTCCCCATATATGTCAACGACTGCTGTTCCGAACAGCTGGTGAAGTCGACGCGCCTGCATCTAAAAGCATGAAGGCCCCCTCTGTCCCCGTGCGTGCTCCCAGAGATGGGTACAGAGGCCTTTGCACTTGGAAGGAAGTGCCTACACATGGGGCTTCTCTGCCACCATCCAGTTTGGGCTGATGCCAGCAGTGCCAGCCACCAGCCCTGCCAGGCCCTGGTGGCTCCCTCTGAGTCGTCTCAGCCACCTTGAAACAGGGTATGACCCTGACTTACGTGCGGAATCTGAGTGGATGGTGGCTTGCCACCGCCAGGGAGCCTGCACAGTGGGCCCTGAACTAGCCGACCACCTGCGCTCACCAGCTTCCAGGTCACCGCAGCCCACTGTGTCCACAACCCCGCCTTCCGAGGCGTGGCACGTACCTACCTGGACAACCCTGCAGGAGTGCTCTCCGAAGTGGGGCAGGCCCTGCAGCTGGCTCAGGGCTGTGACAGGGCCAGGGAACGCCTTGAGCATGGAGGCTGCTCTGCTGAAGGCAAGGACACGGCCCTCGCTGCCGTCAAAGCCCGCTGCCTCTGCCAGCATCTCCAGAGCCTCCTGCAGGGAGGACATGGTGGGTGGGGAGCCTCATCGCAGCTCGCCAGCTGCCACCCACCTGTCCCCAAGCCTGGGGCAGAGCAGAGTGGGGAGTGCTCCCAGGGAGGCTGGGAACCCACGGCTCACCGAGAGGCTGGTGTTGTGGTGTGTGAGGGGTGTGGGGCGCTGGCACGCATAGGGTGGCATCCACACCAGGCTGGGCAGCCCTTTCCTGGGCACAGCCACCTAGGGATGGGCAATGAACAGGCCACTTGAGCCTGCAGGGCTGGCAGCCTCTGGAGCCTTGCCTCTCCTAGGCGGTCACCTAGGGCTCTCGGGCACACAGGACAGAAGGGGCTGACTCTGAGGGCGAAATGACTGAAGGCATGGGGCAGAGGCGGCACTGCCCTGCACAGCAGCCAGGGACGGGCTCTGCAGGCCAGTGGCAGGGTGGCACCACATGCCGATCCTCACAGAGCACCTTTCCTGCTGGTGCACATGCTACATGAGCCCCCTAGCTCCCCGAAGCATCTCAATCACGTGGGTAGGGAATGTCTGACACCCCCACCTCAGGAGCGGAGACCGAGGCCTCATGGCTCACAGGCAGGACCAGGATTTGCACGTGGGTGTCCTGTTCTGAGCCTACACCTGTATCGCCCAGCTCGGCTCGCCTAGGAAGCACGGACGGGGCCGAGGCCACGAACTGCACAGCACTCTGAGGACAGGCTCCTGCCGGCCCTTGTCATCTCACTCAGGGATCACAATCATCTACCTGGAAAGGCCAAAGATGCTAAACATAGGTGGACTCAAAGAGAGTTTGCACGAATGGTGACAGCAGAAGCTGAGATGGCCTGGCTCGGAGGTGGGATCAGAGCCCTCAGCACCCACATCGTCTAGATGCTAAGGCACGGCTGCGACGTGTGGCACCTGACCAAGCTGAGCTACCTGCGCTGGGGCCCCCTCTGTGCCCTCCACCCACTCACCTGCAAGCGGTGCCGGCCCTCCACGGGTACAGGCTGCCCGGCTGCCATGCTCTCTGTGAACCAGCTGATGTCCAGCAGTGCGGGGCGGGCACACCCGGACTGGGGGGGCACCACCCTGCTCTCCTGCCAGCAGACGGCCTCCTCCGCAGAGGTCTGCTCCATCACCACGTGCGTCACCTCAGAGCTGGGCAGGGGCAGGGGGAGGGGTGAGGCCCAGGCCACCCTTTCTGCTTCCCTAGCACCTCCAAGCCTCTGCTCTGCCTCTGAGTACCCACCTCAAATACCACCTTCTCAGAGACCTCCAGCCCCCTCTACTGGCGGCCCTCCAGCACCGCAGAGCTGTGGTCCCTGCTCGAGCCGTCAGAAGCCCAGCCTGATTCTGTGCTGTCTCCCTCTCTTCGCATCCCACAGAAAGGAGTTCCTCAGGGCCAAGGACCAGGGGTTCTTCATCCAAGCGCCAGAGCCAGACAGCTTGGCGTTGAACCTCAGCTCTGCCACATCCTTGCTGCGTGCCCCTGGGCACCTTCCTCACTTCTAGGTGCTTTGATTTGCTCCTCCGTAAAGCAGAGACAGTTCATCTCCCTTGTTGGGTTGTTGTAAAGAGTAAATTAGCTAATAAGTGATGGGGCTTCCACGGCGCCCAGCACATGCCACGCTGCCATCACCATCCTCTCCTGAGTGGGCCTGCCATACCACAATCACCCCCCCACCACCACCACCAAAGATGAAGTTTAAAAAAAGAAACCACTGTGGGGGAACTGGCCTCGGGTTCGCTTGCTCTTTCGACTTCAAACTTAGGGGAACCCGCCACCTTACTCTCTGCATCGCCTGTGTAGCTGCCATTTTTTTGTCGTCCCGGAGCCTCACTCAAGTCACTTTCTCAGTGCCCGGAGAGAGGAGATGGCAAGAACTCTCAAAGGCAGTGACACTGTTCACCACGCCTGCACTCACGTGGCTGTCTACAAAGCCTCTGGCACACAGTCCCTCGACCTACAGATCGCTCCTGGCCCTAACTATTCGCGCCCTTTTACAGAAGAGGAAATGAAAGCAGGACGCGACCATGACGTCCCAGGGTTAACGGAATCGAGAAACCTGGCGTGGCCCCCCCACCCGGCCAGCTGCGTGCGAGTTCTTTCAGCTCTCAGCCCCTCAGCTGTTAAACGCGGCACGTGACCGTGGCTGGTCATCTGCTAAGTCCTGGCGGTGGGCACGGAGCGGTGTCCTCCGGTCCACCCGACGCGGACGTCCCCGGCTCTCCGAGGGGTGGGGCTGTGGACGCCGCGCCCTACACCCGCCCTCACCCCAGGTAAGTGTCCCCGCCCTCGGGGAGCTGCTCCCAGCCCGCGCACCTGTAGGCGTCCAGCACGCGGAAGCCCTTGGACAGCGCCAGGCGCGTGAGGAAGGCCCGGCGGCTGCGGCCCATGTGCGGCTCCGCCAGGTAGATGGCGACCCCCGGGAAGCGCGCCGCGGAGGAGTCGGGGCCAGGTGTCCCGACCCGCGCCCGGCGCCGTTTCGGGAGCATCGGGGAGCGGACCTCGGCGGCGGTGGACTGAGTTAGAGGGGTAGGGGGAGCCGGAAGGAAGGCGGTGGCGCGGGGCTCCTCCCCGGGGCGGGCCCACCCCACGCACGCAAACTCGGGCTCGGTGGCACGCGCCGCTGGGGCCGCTCGGAGCGCGGTGGGCCTGATTGGGCGGTGCCAGAGGCCCCGCCTCTATGCAAATGAAGCAGGGACCGCCTCTATGTGAACGAAGGACACGCCTCTATGCAGATGCAGGGGGACACGCCTCTATGCAAATATAGGGGAGGACATGCCTCTATGCAAATACAGGAGGACACGCCTCTATGCAAATAAAGCAGGGGCCGCCTCTATGTGAACGAAGGACACGCCTCTATGCAAATATGGGGGGGGTCATACCTCTATGCAAATACAGGAGGACACGCCTCTATGCAAATAAAGCAGGGGCCGCCTCTATGTGAACGAAGGACACGCCTCTATGCAAATACAGGAGGACACGCCTCTATGCAAATACGGGGGGGGTCATGCCTCTATGCAAATACAGGAGGACACGCCTCTATGCAAATACAGGAGGACACGCCTCTATGCAGATACAGGGTGACACGCCTCTATGCAAATACGGGGGGGGTCATGCCTCTATGCAAATACAGGAGGACACGCCTCTATGCAAATACAGGAGGACACGCCTCTATGCAGATACAGGGTGACACGCCTCTATGCAAATACGGGGGGGGTCATGCCTCTATGCAAATACAGGAGGACACGCCTCTATGCAAATACAGGAGGACACGCCTCTATGCAGATACAGGGTGACACGCCTCTATGCAAATACGGGGGGGGTCATGCCTCTATGCAAATACAGGAGGACACGCCTCTATGCAAATACAGGAGGACACGCCCTGCGGCGCGTCCCGGGACGGCGCCGCGGGGCAGACGCGCGAGCCTGGAACGTGCTGGTGGAGCGGCCGCTTCAAACCCGGGAAAGGTTTTTCAGTCAAAGGGCTTGGGGCAGCTGGCCGGCCATTTGGAAAAATAGAAGTTGGTTCCCTCCCTTCTGTACACCATAATAAAATCCAGATGGGTTTAACTTTCAAGTCTAAAAAACAAAGATACTGAAAAGTCGATGAATGTTTTTACAATCTGCCCCACAATAAACCTGAACATTGAAAGAAAAGAACGACAGACTCGGCTCCCAAATTTAAAACATATTTTAAAATTAAAAGGCAAGCTGGACAGGTGTCTGTGACATTCTGAAATTAAGTCTAATTCATATAATTATAAAATTGTCCACAGATAAATAAGGAAAAGGCAATGATCTATGGGAAAATTGGCAAGGACATCAGTAGCAAGCCAAAGAAGAAATGCTACTCGGCTGACGCCAGATTGCCCGAGCCGCCGGGTCATTAGAGAAGACCAATGCAAGAGAGACATCTTCTCTTCACCTGCCGCACTGTCGGACATGTAAAGGATTGATCCCGTGCTGAAGGTGTGAGAGAACTGGCAGTTTTTAGAAAGAACTTTTTGAAAACCAGTTTGGCAACCATATCCAACCAAAACCAGAAACAAAAACAAAAATCACACCCAGCAATTCCTTTTCCAAGGTTAGGATTGCATTCGAATCGACGGATTAGGTTAGGAAAGCTGATATCTTGAAAACATTGAGCATTCCTGTGTGCCTCTCATTCCCAGGCACTATGTTTTGGAATCTTTGTTACGGCAGTACAGCCGTGCTCAGACTAAGACGGGAGAGGCCAGGTGTGACCCCGTCCCACCCCTCTGCTCCATCTTCTCTTCATGTGCAGTGGGCAGGGGCTAAGGCCGCCCCCACCCCAGGACACACACTCCAAGAGGCTGGGCTTGTGGCCCCAGGAGGGAAGGGGCCGCTCCCAGGGCCTCTGTAAGGGGTAGGAGCCTAGTTCTCATCTGTGAGTTCCACCTCTCTATCCCTGGAAACTATTTTCTTTCTTTTTAACGTCCTCCGTCTCCATCTGGAGCAAAGGCAGCTTTTAGTGACATCACACTTGAATACTTAAAACACTGGGTTACTTGCAAAAATGAGGAACGCAGGGGCTTCCACAGGTGCAGGGAGGTTTGTGAGGGGGAAGGGTGACCCTCAGTGACTACTGAATGGAGGCCTGGGCACCAGTGGGCAAGGCCACAGCGTTGATGGGTGGCGTGTTCCCCTCCCTGCCCTCTGTGGGCCACCACAGTCTGACCAGCTAAGAAGTGGAGAATTCAGCCCTCTTTCCCATAAACCTGGCTCAGGGTTCCAAGATGCCTAAGTCTCCAGCCTACTGTTCCCCATGTTGAAACCACCCCCAAAAAAGTCAGACAGGCCGCACAGATGGCCTCCTGGCTGGCCCTTTCCGCTGTCCTGGGGGTGGCAGTCCTCGTTCTGTGAGTGGCTGTCTCATATCGTGTTGTGGATTAGTTTTATCCGAATGCATGAGCTTGCATTTTTCCAAGATGAATCTCATCTGGCTATTTCTCGTTCCCACTTCCAGCTCCAAGAGGTCCCTGGCAGTCATCTTTCCATCCTCATGGCCTTCATGGAGCACCTTCCATGAAGGTCACTTCAGTGCCCTTCACACCTGTCCTTGGCCGGTGGGGCCAGGACCCTGCTGTATCTGTCTGCCTCCTGCCCCCCCAGCGGTGGTCCTGGCTCCTGTGGGCTGCTCGTGGCCAGACAGCTAATGCTGCCGGACACTGCCGAGGGCCGCCGGCCCTGGTGCACCAGCCACCAGCGCGGGCCTGGTCCTCCTGAGCTCTCCACACCACCGGGTGTGGGCTGCCTGGTGGAGCAGTCAGCTCAGGCTGACGCAATGAAACACTCCACACTGGGCGGCTTCAACAACAAATATTTTTCACAGTTTCAGAGACGGAAGTCCAGGACCAGGGTGCCGACAAGGGTGGTCTCATTCTGAGGCCAACTCACGTGGCTTGTAGGTGGCCGCCATCTCACTCACACGGCCTCTTCGAGCGCATGTGCAGAGACAGAGCCGGCTCCCTTCCCCTTGAAAAGCCACCAAGCCTATTGAGTTAGGACCCCCACCCCACTGACCTCATTTAATCTGTTACCTCCTACAAGCTCCATCTCCAAATACTGTCGCGTTGGGAGTTCAGGCTCAACACGTGAATTTGGGGGACCCAATTTAGCCCCTAAAGCCTGGCGTGTTTGTGTCCCGTGGCTGCTGTAACAGATTACCACAGACTGGGTGGCTTAAAACAACAGAAACTTATTCCCTCCCCGTGTGGAGGCCAGAGGTCTGTCAAAGGGCCTCGAATGACAGTGCTCTGTTGAAGTCTGCTTCGGTCAACAGTGGGACAGGACGAAGAGGCCACCCAGTCCTTTCGCCAGTCCTGAGGGGCGGGGTCACTGCCCATCCCCGCACACACTCCCAGGGTGTGACTGCCCTTCCCCTCCCCCATCAGTCACCCCAATCCCCACTGCACAGTCCACAGCCCTGGTTTCGGGAATGTGTGGCCAGCTGTCTGCAGAGCAGGCCCATGCTGGCCGGCCCCTCCCAGCCCGCTTCCTTGGTAACTGCTCTTCCAGAGCCCCTCTCAAAACCCCACTCCAGTTCCCAGCCAGTGGCCTCGCGGGCTCCTCCCTCATCATGTCTGGGTTCAGGTCTGGTGGGCCCTGCGCCAGCACTCCAGGGCCCCTTGCCTTTCTTGTCTACACTCAGCTGACCTGCCCAGGCCTCACACTGGCCTGTCCTTCTGAAGTCCCTTCGGCTGCTCCCCTGCAGCAGGGTCTTCTGGGCCCTGGCACGTGCAGTGCCCTCTGCCCAGACACTGTCCCTTCCCTGTGGTGAGTTGCCTGACTCATCTCACTCGCTCCTCCAGGAAGTCTGTGCTGGTCCCCAAGCCCAGGCTGGGCCTCCTGTGTGTCCCCCAGCCCTGTGGGCTATAGCATCTGTCTCCTCTGTGCAGAGAAGGCTGCCAGGGGCTTGGGGGGCAGCGCCCACACACGATGCCGGCCCATGAATGTTTGCTGACTGCGTAAGCCGTCCTGGCATGGAACGTATGCATCTGACTGTCAGGCCCTCAGCAAGTGCCTCTTAGCAGGAGGTGCCCCCATGCCCATGGGGAGACTGTGAGGGGCCAGGGCATCCCGGGCCCGGTGAGAGGGCCAGGTACAGAGATAGCTGCCTGGGGCCACAGGCAGAAGAACGAGCTTGGCGATTGAGAGGAGGGTAGAGAGAGCGGGCAGCTAGGGCTTCGCACTGGGACTCTGGGTGCCGCAGTGGCCCTGGGCACCCTGGCGCTCTCTCCAACAGCAGGAGCCGTGCAGCTGGGGGTGCGCACCTGCCAGCAGCTGCCTCCTCCTGTGGGACAGGTCGACCGCTTCTCGGTTCTGTCGGCAGGGCTTCTGTCCCAGGTGTGAAGACAAACGCGAGAGTGTGATCCCTAACTCACAACCCGTTATGAAAGTTGCTAATCTCACAATTTCTTTCTTATTCTTATAGTTTTTTAGGGGGATTTCAGGTTTTTACATCTTCCTCTACTAGAAAATGGTAATCTTACCGAACATGAAAGAATATCATCTGTAGCAAAGACTGTAAATTATTCCTCAATATCTAGTATCTCCTTCATCAGTAACAGAGCTCCTGGCACAGCTGGCAAAGGCCACACTTCCAGCTTCCCTCCAGCTGGGTGGGGCCTGCGACTGAGTTCTGGCAAAGGCCAATGAAAAAAACTTGGAGCTTTGTGTGAGCTTCTAGAAAGTGTTCTTAGAGATCGTGCTCTACTGTTGTTTTCCTCCTTTCTGCTGGCTGGGATGATGCGAAGATGGTGGGATGTCGAGCAGCTATTTTGCACCATGAGATGGGAGCCATATGTTGAAAGTAAGGGAGCAACGCAATGAAAGGAGCCAGGACCTCCAAGGGCCGGTAGGCTGCCCTACCAGCTCTGGACTGCTTACCTCCGGATTTTGTTTACATGAGCATATAAATTTCTATTTTATTTTAGCCATTGTTACATTGGGTTGTCCATCACTCGCAGCTGACCCTGATCTCAACTGATAAGCGGAAGTTGCAGGTTCTGGGCTGTAAATCAGTTGTCCCTTAGTGGAGACACAGGACCTCTCTGCTGAGATGATTCAACTCTGAGTCTCTAGGTATTAGACCAAGTTTCTTTTTCATTAAACTTTTACTTGCTATGTTATGGAGCTCTGAAACCTGTCTTTGAAGGAGATTTCACGTTTCAGAGACTGCATCCTCTCCAGAAGTGCTGCAGGCCGGCAGTGCCCCGTCCACCACCCTCTCAGCCCGGCCTGCTCCGTGCTGGCCCGCCCACCCTCCGGTCTGCACGGCTCCCACTGGCCCCAAGGCCTATCTGTCTCACAAGATCCTGCTAAGGTGTTTATCTCGTATTTGCCACATTACAGGTATTTACTCAGGGCATGTACGTGTCAGGCACATCTCTGAACAAGGGTTTGGGGGATTCAGTAGTCAACATCATGGACCCCAATCCTTGGCCCTGCGAAGCCAGCACCGTTGGTAGGGAGACGTGATACACATGCCAGGTGAGTGTTAGCTATCGTGAGTGACCAGCCTCCCGACTCAGTGGACTAGAACCGTCACACGCCTGCCCATCGTCCACGTAGGCAGCTCAGCCCGTCTGACCTGGCACAGCTGGTCCCCTGCATCCCGCTGGCAGGGGTGGCCAGTGTCAAGTGGCCTCAGCTTTGCCCCCAGTAGCCTCGTCCTCTAGCAGGCTACACCCAGCTGTGCTCTCGTGGTTCTGGAAGCGGGGAGGAGGGGAGTGGGGACTCTGCAAGCATTTTTTCAAGCCTTTCCAAGAACCAAGTTTGTTCTCATCCCACTGTCCACAGCGGTCACACCACCAAGCCTGCAGCAGAATGGGCAGGGCCTACAAAGGGCAAAGGGCACGGGCACAGGATGGCCACTTAACTGGAGTATTGATGCCATCAGTGTGCCCCAATATGTCACAAATAAAGTGAGGAGGGCGCAGTGGTCCTTTCGGCACATGTGGGGAGGGCTGGGGCTTAATGTAGGGTGGTTGGAGAGGCTCTGAGAGCAGGTGGCTCTGAGTGAAGCCCAAGGGCGTGGTGTCTGAGGAGAGGTCATTCTTGGTCCGCAGCAGGATGTGCCACTGAGTCGGTGAGGGCCCTCTCGCCCAAACCTGGACCTTGCAGTGTTAGTCTGGGTGCCAGCAAAGGTCTTCTTGGGGCCACCACAGCACCTTGCTTCCTGAAGGCCCCGTGGACAGGCTGGCTGTCCCAGGCTTGGCACCTCCAGAGTCACATACCCCGCTCACAGCCATAGCACACCTCAGGAAGGAGTCTGTGCAGGGTCCTGGGGCACCCACTCCTTCATGAGGCTGGCCCCCACTTCCCCAGCCCTAAGGCCATCTCCCAGCTGGCGGGGGGGCCGCGGGCTGCTGCTGCCATGCTCAGCTGCAGCGGATGGGAGCAAGACACGGGCCGGAGGTCAGCCGCCTGGTCCACGGGCTGTCTGGGGAACACTGGGAGCCAAATGCAGGCTGAGGTTCTGGGGTGTGGAGGGGCCTGGGCAGACAGCAGACACAGCGGCATCTACGTTTCTCAGCTGGCTGGCTGGGATCAGCGTGTCTCTTCCGGAGACGCCCCCACAGGTTGCACCCAGAAAGAGTTTGACCCGCCGTCTGGGCGTTTCGAGCCCCCTCAGTGGACACACACGAGCCACCACAGCGGCTCTGAACGACAGTGGTTTCTCAGCTCTGCCCACACCAGGACAACTTCCATGAGGGTCTGACACGGGAAACGTAGTGCTCACGTCTGTCCCCCACCCAGGCCGCCCAGGGTCGGGGACAGACCTGCCTGGATATTTCTCACAGCTTTTAAAAGTAGAAACAAAGTCAAATCAGCTTGAAAAATACAAAGAGCTACATCTAACAGCTTCCCATTATTGAAGACTTAGGATTTTTCAGACACGACTTTCTCGGTGAGACCTTGTGCTGCTTCCCAAGGTTACGTTATTGTCACTCCAGTGTCCAGAAGAGAGAAACTGCGGCTCCCAAAAGGTTCCCTCCCCGACTAGGGGCTGCAGTTTCTTTCCCAGGGTTTTGTCTGCCTCTATGTCACCATCAGCATAATTTAAGGAGAAGCCAACACTTTTTTGCGACCAAAGTTCTCAGTCCTTTCTCCTACAGCCTCTGCTTGGAGAAAATTCCCCAGCGGAGAACATGAGCCCAGATCCCTGTGTGCTGCGACTAGCTGGGTGTCTCCTGTAAGACCCACGCCTGAGTCCTTGGGAGCACACGGAGAAGAAAACGTGACGTTGTTCCCAGCAGACCCGGTTGGGAGCTGGACTGCTTACTTTCCCCTGGGACCTGACACCGGCTGGCTGTCACAGTGTGTTTCCACATGCCCTCCAGCCTGCGGACACAGGATTACTCACAGCACTGGAAGCCGCCCCGTCCCCTGAGCCCGTCAGCCCCGCTCCCCACGGCCGCGGTGATCCCAGTCTCCCCAGGGGCTGGTTCTGTGGTGAGTGGAAGGAATTTGGGTGAACTCTGCTCGCTCAGCAGTCCAGGCGGGGGGAGCTGGGCGGGGCCGTCGGACTGTGGAAAATCACATGAGACTTTCAGCTTGTTGGAAACCCAGAAAGTTGTTCTGCCAGTTGTGCACACGGCCAGTGTCTGGGACACCCCAGGTTCCATGGCTCTGGGAACCACCTCCTGTGGGCCGAGCCACCTGACTCCTGGTGACGTCCAGACTGCAGACATTGGGTTTCGCGAGGGAGGGAGGAGCAGAGGGACAGGCCAGGCCTGGGCCCCCCTCCCCTGGTCCCTGGACTGGGGGTGGAGTGGCTGGCGTCTGAGCCTGGAGCCTGCTGTCCAGAGCCAGGCTCCCCAGGTCTTCCCGTCAGACCACTGTGCCGAGGCTCCGAGCACCTGGGAGGGTGTCCTCCGGCTCCCCCAGGCCCTGTCGCTCCTGCTCATCCCTGTCCCTGTGTCCTGCAGCTGCCCCAGCTAGAACTGGGCCACGCTGGTCCTGTGGTTGGTGACCCTGTGGCCTGATGGCCAGAGTCCAGGGAGCCTGGACACAAAGAGCATTCGGTCTCAGACACGTCACTTCTCCCTGGGCCTCAGTTTCCATACTCAGAAATGGGGGAGATGGGCTCATACCCAGCAAGCATTAAGCACTGCCCAACCTGCCGCCCATGTGCCAAGACCTGGCTCGGTGACTGGCATGAACAGTCTCCCCCCAGGGCTGGACTCACTCCCTGGTACCCTCTATCCCCACATCCAGTTGCTGACTTCCTGTTCCCCCAGGCCTGACCGTCTGTCCGGTGACCCACTGCACTGTCAGGTTCCTCCAAGAACTCCCCTCCCCCACTCTGGAAGCAGCAAGGATAGGCCTACCTGGGGGGCTGTCCCCTTTCTCCCCGTCAGGCCCAGTCCTGCTACCCGCCTCCGCCATAGACCTTTACTGGGGGGAGGGAAAGGGCCAGGGCTCTCTTAGGAAGCTGGAGGGGGGGGCTCTAGGGTGTCCAGCAGACCCCAGACTAGCTCATGCGTGTCCTCGGACATGGACACGGGTGTCCTGCCTGCTAGCAGGGGGCACTGGCCCCCAGAACAGGGAGCAGCAGCCGCAGGAGCACACGAGCCTCTCGCTGTTGACCTTTCGGTTCTGAGGCTGCGCTTCTCAGCAGACGGGTCTCCGGCTGAGCCCTTGGCTGCATCTCCACACCCAGGCAGAGCCCCGCCCATCGAGGGGGCATTCCACCTGACATGGACGGCAGTCGCCTGTCCTCTCCCCAGCCCAGACCCTTAGGGGCGACGGGCCCCTCACTCCCCGGCCCTCCAGCCCAGCGCCCGAGGCCTTTGCTCAAGTTCCTGTCGATGACTCACTACGGCTGTCGAAAAGGTCCTTTCTAGTCCTTCTTATTTTTTTCTGGCTTCTATTTTCCCTGGCAGAGACTGTCGGGCCCAAATCCGATCCATGTGTGAGCCAGCTGAAGGCGCCTCTGCGGGAAGTGACGCCTCACAGCCGCCCCCCACCTTGGGCCTCTCTGCTTGACACACTCGACGGAGGGCAACAGGGCAAATTCCAAGACAACATTTCCAGAAGGATGATTCAGAGGCTTGCAGAGGACATTTGTGGGTAAAAGCCTGCTGCATCATCCTGCTGCCAGGAGCAGCCTGGGGACACATGGCAGGGCGCAGAATAGGCAGGAACAAGGGTGTCTGATGAGGGGGACGATGGGGCTGGAGTTGAGCTCTGCGCAGCACAAGCGGGACCCGCTGACCAGCATCACGAGGGCTGGGGAGACAGGTGAGGAGCAGGGAGGTGACGCTGTGATCAGATGGCCAGAGCTGGATGGGACCCTAGGACCCAGGTTGTGACACAGCCCCACTGCCCGCTTAGGTATGTGCAAGGCTGAGCCACTGGGAGACAAAGGAAGGCCCTTGGGAGCGAGAGACGAGGAGACCAAGGCTTCCAGGGTCCTGCTCCCGTCCGAGCTGAGCCGGCTGCCCCCACAGTGCCCCCCGGCCGCTGCCTGCTGAGGCAGGGTGTGCACAGGGCCCAGGTGAGCCCTGACCTGTGCTTCCTCTTCCCTTTAACCCAGGCTCCCAATTTTGCCTGTCAGCCGCCCCAGGTGCTCCTGGGTTCCCCACCTGACCACTTCACTGGGCGGAACCCTCGTGGAGCTTGGCTGGGGGCTGACTGCCACATGGTTGCTTCTCTTGGCTTCCTCATTCCTTCAAGGAAGAATGATCTGGGAGCTCTGGCCTTAGGCGTGAGGCCCATCTGGGGCCCTTCAGGCGGCCCTATGGAAACTCCAGGCATACACACCGCGATTCCCAGTGCCAGTGCCCACGCAGACGTGACTGATCCTGAGGGTCTGATCCTTCCCGCACCCATGCAGACGTTACTGACAGATCCTGGGAGTCTGGAACTCACCCAGTCTGTATTCCACTGAGCCCACATGGTGGCTGGAGCTACGGTAGGCTCCGTTTCTAAAAACTGGGTTCCGGTCAGAGGAAAGGAAGGAGAGAATGGCCATCCACGTTGGGGTGGGCGGTGGACCTGACCCCAGACATCTGTGCCTCCGGTGTAGGTGGTGTAGGTGGCGGGTCTGGCACCCAGCTTCGTTGGGCTGAAGGCACACGGCTCCCCCCGGCTGGTCCACGTCCTCGAGGGCAGTATGTGGTCTCCTGTGCCCTGTGTCTTCCCCACAGAGCTGGGCTCCCCCGTGCTGACCATGAAACCATCTCCTGATCTAACCTGGCATTACCCGAGGCAGTGCCCCACTCAAGACAGGCCAGACAAAGCGAGTTGCTGCCTCCCACCTCCTTGCCAGGTTCTTAACCTGGGGTCCAGGCACCCTCCCTAGGCTGCCAGGAGTGCAGGGCTGGGCAAGAAAGCCTTGAACTTGTACGGAAATCGCTGTGTGAGTGCCGAGTCCCTCCACTCGCAGCCAGCCATTCCTGTGGATACACACGCAGCTTAGTAAGATGAGTCTCCTTCCTCCTCCCCCTCCGCCCTGGTGCCGGAACCTGGGAGGGGAGGGGCGACCTGACTTGGGGGCGCCTACCCCAGTAGAGCAGTTGTCCTGCCCTGAGGCAGTTTTGCACCTGCCCCCATTAGAGACTGGGTCCCCAAATGCAGTGCCTCCCCTGGGGAGCAGCACTGGCCAGCTGGCGTCCTGGACCTGGGCAGTTGGCTGCCCGACTGAATGACGGCTGGGCACAGCCCAGGGCTGCCAGACGCAGGGAACGGCGGGTTGGCCAGGCGCCCTCCCAGACCCTCTGCTGGTGGCGGTGGGGAGGGTCCCGGGGGCCAGAGCCCGCGGCTTGGCTCCATTTCCCGGATTCCCGGGCCCCTCGGGCAGGCTCAGTGGCACCTCGCCTCCGGATCCCGCTGGCCTGCGGGCGGTGCCGCGGGTGAGCCGGGCGGGGGCGTCATTCCCCTGGGACCCGCACCCTTAGGCCCTCCCATCCGCTCCGGCCCGGGACGCCGCCCCGGTCCCACTTCGGGAAGTGCCAGGCGCGCAGCGGGACTGCTCTGCCCCCTCCCGGGCCCCTCGGGCAGGCTCAGTGGCACCTCGCCTCCGGATCCCGCTGGCCTGCGGGCGGTGCCGCGGGTGAGCCGGGCGGGGGCGTCATTCCCCTGGGACCCGCACCCTTAGGCCCTCCCATCCGCTCCGGCCCGGGACGCCGCCCCGGTCCCACTTCGGGAAGTGCCAGGCGCGCAGCGGGACTGCTCTGCCCCCCCCCTGCAGCGCACCCCCCC